TCTCTGACAAATAAATAAAATCTTTTTTAAAAAATAAAAAAATAAAATCCATTCAGATATTCAATTATCTTCTCAGTTACTAACATCTACTTTATCTTCTATTTTACAGTGGTGATCTAGCAGTTTCAGCAAAACACCAATCCTGGATAAATCAAACTCTCTACCTATTTCATGCCTTACCTGGGCATCTGAACATAACTAGAGAAAGACATAACCAGGATGACTATATCATTTTATATATATAGCCACAAATGTCAGAAAAACCTACTATGCCTTCAACAATACTTGTAAATTCTAATACATTTCCCCAGTTAATTTACTCTCCCATTCTCAGAGATGACTATTTAATACACTTACTCTCCCACACTCCCTCCCCAATTCTCACATTTAGCCAATGACCCTCTCTTCACCATTTCACTGAAAAAAAAGAAAAAAGAAAAATTCCACAAGATCCCACCACCACATCAGTTGTAAATTCAGTCAGCTGCAAATAATAGTCATACATATCTTAGAAAAAGGAAAAAAAATGGGGAAAAGGTCAGTTTGACTTAAACAAATTGTTTTATTTTCTCTCATAATGAGAAGTCCAGAGGTAGGCAATCCTGGACTTGTATGGCAGCTCCACAATGTTATCAGGGACCTAGACTCTACCTTCTTCCATCCTTACTAATGGTTTAGGTTCACTTTATTGTCATAAGATGGTTGAACTACAGTTATCATGTCCGCATTCTAAGCAAGAAAAAGAGAAGGGCCAAAAACATATACCAGTTCAGAAGCCCCACAAAACTTCCACTAACAACTCACCAAAATTTAGTCACATAGACATCCCTTGTGTAGTTGGAACAGAAGATTGGCATCCTGACCCCAATGAAATCAGGGTTCTGTTGTTATTAAGAAACAGGGAGAGAGGTGCCTGGGTGGCTCAGTCTGTTAAGCCTCCAATTCTTGGGGCATCTGGGTGGCTCAGTTGGTTAGGTGTCTGCCTTCAGCTTAGGTCATGATCCCAGAGTCCTGGCTGGTATGTAGACCCATGTTGGGCTCCCTGCTCAGTGGGGAGTCTGCTTCTCCCTCTGCCCCTCACCCTGCTCATGCTCCCTTTTCTCTCTCACTCTCTCTCTCTCAAACAAACAAACAAACAAACAAACACTTCCAACTCTTGATTTTGGCTCAGGTCATGACCTCAGGGTTGTGAGATTAAAGGAGTCCCACGTTGGGCTCTGCACTAGGTGTGGAGCCTGCTTAAGATTCTCTCTCTCCCTCACCCTCTCTCTCTGCCCGTCCCCACCCCTCTCTTTTTCTAAAAAGAAGAAAAGAAAAAGGAAACAAGGAGAGAATAAGGAGAAAGTACCTATTTTCCTATTTTACTGGGGTGGGCAAGAGAAAAGAAGAAACCAGAAGAGCAAATGTTCCCACAACCGAATCTGACTGCCAACCTGAATCTGTACTCATACTCTGGCTTCCTCCTAGTGGATAGTGGATAAACTATCATGCTCCTCTCCAAGGTTAACTGCTCCAGTGGCACACTGAGTCCTTTCCATTTCACTACTCTAAAACTTTACTCCTGAATTTATCCCCTCTTTTCCTCACATCATCAGTTTTCCCCTCCTTTTATTTATTCTCACTAGCAAACATACTAAAATATCTCCCATTTTTAAAAGAACTTCCCTTTTTTTGAACATCTCTATCCAGCTATCCTAGCTATCACCCTTTACTCTCTTGAAGCAAAATTCCTCAAAGGAGGAATTTCTCCACTTTTTCTCCACTTTTCTCCACTTCCTCACCTTGCATTCTTTCTCAAACCCACCCCAATCAGGCCCTTCATTCATCTTTACTGCTCCACTGAAGCTATTTTTTTTTAAGATTTTATTTACTATATGAGAGAGAGAAAGTGTGTGCATGCACAAGCAGCGAGGAGGGGTAGAGGGAGAAGCAGACTGCCTTCTTAACAGTACCTGATACGAGACTCCATCCCAGGACCCTAGGATCATGACCTGAGTGGAAGGTAGGTGCTTAACTGACTGAGCCACCCAGGCACCCCACTGAAGCCCCTCCTGCCCAAGTCACCAATGACATCACACTGCCAAATCTACTAGTCAACTCTCATCCCTCATCTCACCTAATTTCCCAAAAGAATTTGACACAGTTATCACTCTCCTGCTTGAAACACTTTCTCCATTTGGTTTCCAGGACACTCTTCATGTTTTTCTTCTTATACCACTGGTTAGTGCTTCTCACTTTGACCATATGATCTGCTTCCTAATTTTTAAAAGCTGGAGTGCTCCAGGGTTTTCAATCTTTGGTTCTCTTTCCATCTACATTTTCTTTCTAGGTGATATTACCCAGTTTCTATGCTGATGACTCTTAAATTTAACTCCAGTATGACTTCTTTTCTACACTTTAGCCTACTGCCTAATCATCATTCTACTTTGATGACTAATACCCTACATCTTAAAATTAACATGTCCAAAACTGAACTTCTGATTCCCTTCATTTCCTTATATCTTTTCCTCCTTCAGTATTCACCATTGCTGCTCAAGCCAAAAACCTTAGGATCATGTTTGACTCCTCTCTTTCTTTCTCACTCTACATTTAATGTACTGGTAGGCCAGTACTACCTTCAAAATGTATCCACACACTGACCAGCTTTTACCACCTCTACCACTGGCTCACCCTGGTCCAAGTAACTATCATTTCTTATCTGCTTTACTAAGATTCCCTTCCTATTCATACTCTTTATTCCACTCTTAACCTCCTGTAGTTTTTCTCTTTTTTTTTAAGATTTTATTCATCTATTCATGAGAGACACACAGAGAGAGGCAGAGACACAGGCAGACGTAGAGGGAAAAGCATGCCCCACGCAGGGAGCCCAAAGCGGGACTCGATCCTGGGTCCCCAGGATCACGCCCTGGGCTGAAGGCCACTGAGCCACCCAGGTGTCCCTGTATTTTATTTTATTAAAGCCAGAACAATCCTTTTAAAATCTAAAATAGAACATGTCACATCTTTGCTCAAAACTATGTATAATGGTTTCCCTAATTTTAGAACAAAACAGTCTTTCCATATAATAAAGACACTTACATGATCTAGACACTGGTACTTCTCTGATTTCATTTCATAATACTCTCTCCCTCACTTCCTCTGCTCTTATATCACTGACTTTAGTAATATTGCTTTAAAACAGATATACACCCTCAACTGCAGGCTTTTACACCTGATGTTCCTCTGCTTGAAATGCCCACTCTACCACCTACTTGAGGTCCTTGTTCAAATAATTATCTCCTCAGAGAGTCCTTCTCAGATCACTTTATCTAAAATAGCATTCCTCCGTAACTTTAATCTCTTTTCCACACTTTATTTTCCTTCATAAGCACCAAAAAGCACCTGACATTATATTTCACATCTCTTTGCTATATATTCATTTTCTTTCTCCTTCACTAAAATATAAATTTAGTGAGGGAAAGGACATATTTTGTTTATTGTTATACCTACCCAACACTTAAAAGGAGCACTTGCATGGTAAGTTCTCAATAAATATTTGTTATTGGGGTGCCTGGGTGACTAGGCGGTTGAGCGTCTGCCTTTGGCTCAGGGCATGATCTCAGGAACGAGTCCCGCATCCGGCTCCCTGTGGGGAGTCTGCTTCTCTCTCTGCCTGTGTGTCTCTGTCTCTCTGTGTCTCTCAGAAATAAATAAAAATCTTTAAATAAATAAATAAATAGATAAATAAATAAATATTTGTCCAATAAATAAATAAAAACAGAAGTCATATTCTTTTCTATATACATATAATGAACACTTTCCAGTCTTTACCCTGTTTAATTTCTCTGCAATATTTGGCATTTACCACTTCTCCTTCTGGAAATTCTCTCTTTCCTTGGACTGTGATACTAACAGTTCTTCTCTGATCATTCCTTGTCAGACTCCTTTTATAGGTTCCTTTTCTCTACTTTAAATATGATAATTCTTCAGATTCCCTACTAAGGCCAGGTTCTCTATTAAAGCTATCATTCTCCAAGCTATATGCATTCCCCCTGAGTGGTCTTAACCATCTTCGTGATTTAATTATCATCCTAAAGCCAATGCTGAAGACTCTCAAATCTGTATCATTCTCCTCTCTCCGTATCTGCATATATGAATGACTAATAGACATCTTCAGGTATATGTACCACAGACATTTAAACCTCAAAACATGTCAAAAGCTGAATTTTTAGCTTCAGTGTCCCTTCTTCAGTTCCCATCCACTTCTTCCTTCAGTATTCTGATATCAGTGAAAAACACCATGATTCAATCAGTTATTTAAACTCAAAAACTAAAAATTACCTCCATTGCTCAGTTTCCTTCAAATCCTGTACCCAATCAATCATCAAGTCTGGGACGCCTAGGTGGCTCAGTGGTTGAGCATCTGCCTTTGGCTCAGGGTGTGACCCCGCCCCGGGTCCCAGAATCGAGTCCCACATTGGGCTCCCTGCATGAAGCCTGCTTCTCCTCCCTCTGCCTATGGCTCTGCCTGTCTCTCTGTATCTCTTATGAATAAATAAATAAAATCGTAAAAAAAAATCATTGGGATGCCTGGGTGGCTCAGCAGTTGAGCATCTGCCTTAGGCTCAGGGCGTGATCCTGGAGTCCTGCATTGGGCTCCCCACAGGGAGCCTGCTTCTCCCTCTGTCTGTGTCTCTGCCTCTCTATGTGTCTCTCATGAGTAAATAAATAAAAAATCTTTTTAAAAAATCATCCAGGGCAACCCCGGTGGTTCAGCGGTTTAGCGCCTCCTGCAGCCGAGGGGTGATCCTGAAGACCCAGGATGGAGTCCCGTGTCGGGCTCCCTGCATGGAGCCTTCTTCTCCCTCTGCCTTTGTCTCTCTCTCTCTCTCTCTCTCTCTCTGTCTGCGTGTGTGTGTATTCTCGTGAATAAATAAAATCTTTAAAAATAAAAAAATAAATAAAAATAAAAAAATCATCCAGTATGACATTCAACAACAAATGACATATTAGGCACTTACTGTAAGAATAAATCTGGGGGCCCCTGGGTGGCTCAGTCCATTGAGTGACCGAATCTTGACTCTTGGTTTCAGCTCAGGTCACGGTCTCAGGGTCATAGGATCCAGCCCTGCATATGGGGGGGGGGGAATGGAGGGGTGGCTGGTGGTTGGTTTTACATGAGATTCTTTCCCCTTCCTTTCCCTCCTCTGTTCCTCCCCCTATCTTATGCACACGCACGTGTGCACGCTCTCTCTCTAAGATAGATAGATAGATGATAGATAGATAGATAGATAGATAGATAGATAGATAGATAGATATGCCTGGGTGGCTTAGTGGTTGAGCTTCTGCCTTTGGCTCAGGGCATAATCCCAGGGTCCTGGGATCGAGTCCCACATTGGGCTCCCTGTGGCAAGCCTGTTTCTCCCTCTGCCTATGTCTCTGCCTCTTTCACTGTGTGTCTCTCATGAACAAATAAATAAAATATTTAAAAATATAAATAAATAAAATCTTTAAATAAATAAATAAATCTGGAAGTAGCTGGTTTTAAGGGTTGGCTCAGCCAACCTTTCAGTGTCGGAGCACTGACTTGTTCTGTCTTTGATTCTCTTTATATTAAGACCTGGAATATCTTAAATCAGCTATAGGCATCATACCTTCACAGAACATTTCCAAAACAGAAAGGAAAGGGGAGGAATGTAAAAAAGGTCCTCAAGGGTACAATCTCTTTTTATCAGAGACGAAAACTATAGCTGGGGTACAGAGGTGCAAGAGCACCCTGTTCTGGGTGTCCCAAACAGATCAGACTCAACCACTCACCACTGACAAAATCCAAAGGCAGAGAAGAGAGTGGTGGTAAAACAAGAAAGGAATTTATTTCAGTGAGGCCAACACCAGGAAAACAGCAGACCAACATTTCAAAGACTGACTCCAAAGTACTGAAAATACTTCCAGGTATATATGAGGAAAATGTGGAGCAAAGGGTTGGTGGGCACATACAGATAGGCGGGGAAGGTTAAATTGATCATTGTCTTAGGATCAGTCAGGAGGGATCTTGCTGGCTAAGGGCAGTCCTTATTTTTCAAGGGGGTAGCTTAGGTTCCCATCAGGGGATGCTTTGCCCAAAGGGTCTTTTGACTGAGTTAAGAGGTAAGTTTGGTGTGGGGTGCCTGGCTGATTGTGATTCTTGATCTTGGGTTTGTAAATTCGAGCCCCATGTTGGGTGTAGAGATTACTCAAAAATAAAATCTTTAAAAAAAGAAAGATAAGTTTAGAAAAAAGAAGTTAATCACTTAGAAAGTAGAGACTGAGGTCAAAATGGAGGTAGTTGAAGTTCTCTTTCAAAACCATTTGCAGAAATACTCTAGCCAACTTCCCTTTATGTTCTATTGGCCAGAACTGGGCCAATTATGAAGGAAACTGAAAAAGTAAGTAAATATCTTGTAAAGAGAAATAGGGTTCCTTCTCTTTATCCCCTGGGATAGAGCACTTAAATATCCTTTAAAAAGACAAGGGAGAGAGAGAGGGAGAAGAAAGGGAGAGAGAGAGAGATTATCTTGGCAAAGAAGAATGAAATAAGGTGTTTTTTGGGGGGGCAACCAAGATTGACTTCCACAAAAACAGACATAGAGCTTGCATGTAATTAGGGAGAATTTTTAAATAAGTAAATAAATATACAAACAAGCTAATTTCAGGTTCTATAAATACTTTGAAATAAGGGGATGTGATAAAAAGTGATGGGCATATATTTTTTTTAATCTTTTTAAATTTTTATTTATTTATGATAGTCACACACAGAGAGAGAGAGAGAGAGAGAGAGGCAGAGACACAGGCAGAGGGAGAAGCAGGCTCCACGCACCAGGAGCCTGATGTGGGATTCGATACCGGGTCTCCAGGATCGGGCCCTGGGCCAAAGGCAGGCGCCAAACCGCTGCGCCACCCAGGGATCCCCTGATGGGCATATTTTGAAGATAAAACTGAAAATTTAGGGGATCCCTGGGTGGCTCAGCTGTTTAGCACCTGCCTTTGGCCCAGGGCGCGGTCCTGGAGTCTTGGGATCGAGTCCCGCGTCGGGCTCCAGGCATGGAGCCTGCTTCTCCCTCTGCCTGTGTTTCTGTCTCTCTCTCTCTCTGTCTATCATAAATAAATAAATCTTTAAAAAAATAAAAAATAAATAAAACTGAAAATTTACTACTGGGTTTGAATGTGACAGTATGAGAAAAAAGATGATTCAAACTCATACTGATTCCCATTCATAAATGAAGGTGGAGAAAGACAATTAGGGGTCTAAAGTCATACCGCTATTAACCGACAAAGTTAAAATTGCATCTAGTACTATCTGAAACCAAAACTCATTTTCTTTCCCATATACCATCCACTGGGGGTGAGGGGGAGGTGGGGGGAGGGGGGGAGCAGAGAGACAGAACACAACACAAAAAAGCATATATAAATTTTATAACACTGCAATAAATACGAATAAAAGGTCAAATATTTGAAAATAATTGATGTTTAAGTTATTGTGACTTATTTTTTACTTTCCCTGTAAAGCTGGTTAAAGGAACAAAATATATTGTGAACTATTGTGTCTAAACCACAATATGGAACCATCAGAAATGTTGATTACTGTGTAGAACAGTAGCAAATGGCGGTGATATAGCAAAAATGGGAGTGGCTCGAATAGCAACACAGGGTTTCCCATTACACCAAAGACTTAAAGCAAATAGTTACAGGCCCTGATGCAGTCCAACAAAACAAAGATCTAATAATCAGTTAAAATGTTAAAAGACAGTGGATAATACTGTGTTTACATTCCAGCAATAGACAACTACTATTTAGTTGTTAAATATATACAAAGTATATGCATCTATATATAATATAAGCAAACAAACCTATGTAAGTTTAATATGTTTAATATAAAAAAAGAAGAAAAAAGTCAGCCTTTCCTCTCAGATAAACTTATCATTATTCAATATTTTTCTGGCATAAAGATACCAGACTAGATTATATTTAAATGTCCCTTTTGTATCTACATTACTCTTTGGAAACTAAGGTGTCATCAGGGACCTGAAAAAACCCTCAAATACTTCCTCATTCACAACAAGGGAATTCACAGAAACAAGGCTAGCAAAGCTAATGATTTTAGGAAAGTATCTGGGGAGACATACAGGCCCACAGGAGCAAATCTCTGCAGTGAAAGCTCTAAGGTTCTGCAGAGAGCTCGAAGGGAGGTGCCTGCTTCCAAATGGCTTTCATCCAGAGCAGACAGCAAAATGGAGTTAAGCAGGGTGGTTCCCTAACATTCCCTAACATTCATTTTCTGGTCCAGGCAAACTAATCATTTTCTATCTCCTTTAAGAATAAGTGAGACAATATTTAAACATATTCCTGTCCCCAGGAATCTAATTTGGAAAATATGCACAAATTTGGATCTTGAGTTGAAGACTTTTCAACAGGATTACAAAAAAATATTTATTAGAAATAAAAGAAACCCTCTTGTTTGTATTCCAGGTTCATATGAGTGGAAAATTTACATTTATATAAGAAGTAAAAATATTTATGTATCTGTGTATGTGTGTGTATATCTTTATATATATATACACATATATCCTTATATATCCATATATATGTATATATATCCTTATATATGTGTATGTATATATATATATATCTCCTTATAAACTACATACATATTAACAGTGTAAAATCTGTTATTTGTCTGATATGAAGGGTGAAGTTTTTACCAAGTCTAAGTAAGGTAATAACTGAATGTAAACTGTAAATTATTACTGTTTTATGTTTACTTTTTTGTTACTAACATACTATCACTGGGAGGAGATTTTGAGGAGCATCGTAACAGCAATAGGCTTCTGCTAGGCCCATTTTAAAGCCCCATTTTAACCCTAACTAACCACTTTATGCATTTCTAAGGGTTTATATACTTTATGGTCATGGAATAGTCTCCTGAAAGGCGGAGCTGGGAGGGAGTGGATATCCACTATAATCTGGGCCTCCTAGATGGACGCTATAATCAACTGATCTATCTTGACCAGCAGAAAGCAGTTATTACATACAGTTTTTGCAAAGCTCTAAATAACATGAGGTTTCCCTACTTCCTAGCATCCTTCAGTGTCAACAATTTCCTCACTATCCCAAGTTTCTGCCCTCACTTCTACAATTCAGCTCTCCTATTTGAAATGTATCTTTGGATATCCCTTTTGAAAGCCCCTGGAACTGTTCCATAAAATTGTTAGTTATGCCTAAACACGGGGCCTAGGAAGCCCTTTTAACGGCTGCGATGTTCAAACTTAGGTATTACTCTCTGAATGACTCAAATGCTTTTGCATCCAACGTCTGCCACCTTAGTTTAACGAGCAAGTCATTAAGCAAATAAAACTAGTCTGTTTTCTAAACCTTGCATCCTCCACATTATCAGGTTAAGTAAAGACTGCATCGCCTTTAAAGGAGCTGAGAAAAGGGGGAAAAAAAAAAAAAACAAAACGGCGAGACTCACTGACAAATTGTAGCAACATGAAAATAATCAGCTGAGCTGTCCGGACCAGAAATTGCTGCATTTCATGGTGCTTCAGCTTTAACGCTGTACGGACTTCTTAAGTCTTAGGGTTCGTCCAAATTGAGGCAGGCCTCCTCTCCCGTCCCCGTGCTGGTTCGCGAACCCGCGCCCGCCCCCAGCCCGGGCCCCGGCGGCCATGCGCCGCAGACTGCAGCACCCGAGCTCGCTGTCCGCAGGCGCGGCGGACCCCGCCCCGCACGGCCGGCGCGCGGGGGGGGGGGCGGGGGGAGGGGGCGCCCTGGGCCAGGAGCCCGCCTCTGCGGCGGCCGAGCCGGGCGCCGAGTGGGCGCGCCGGGCGGGAGGAGGGGCCCGCGGCCGTGGCACCGCCCGGGCCCGCCCGCCCTCCCGGACCGCTACTTAAGTGGCTCCGGCACCGCCCCCGCCTCAGTGCGTTACTTACCTCGACTCTTAGCTTGTCGGGGACGGTAACCGGGACCCGGTGTCTGCTCCTGTCGCCTGCGCCTGCTACCCCGCAGCCACCATGGTGAGTGGGCCGCTCGGGGCGCCGCCCTTGCCCTGCAAGACCGGGAGAAGCGAGCCTGGCGGTCTCGGGGCGGGGGTGGGTGAGGGGGCGCCAGCCGGAGATGAGCGCCCTGATTTGGGAAGGCGAGAGGCGAGGCGAGGCGAGGCGAGGCGAGGCGAGGCGAGGCGAGGCGAGGCGAGGCGAGGGTGGGAGCAGTGAGAACGGCTGGGGCCAGGAAGGGGGGGCCGCCGCGTTTTCTTCTCGGACTGTGGGAGAGGATGGCCGGGCGCCGGCTCCCGAGACCGTGGTCGGGGTTCTCAATTGGCCCTTACCTCTTGGGGCGCGGCGGCCCGAGACCCTACAGCCTTTTTCCCGCGCGTTCCCATCCCCCCCTTTCCTTCCCCCGCTTTTGGCGGGCGCGCGCGCGCGCGGGCTCTGCGCGCCCTCACTTCCTCCTCAGCCAGAAGCGCGGAGGCGGGAAGGAGCCTGACACAAAAGCGCACGCGCGACCGTTACCTTCCCGCCACAGGGAGCGGCGGGAGACCGCCTCTGCGGTCTGCGCGTGCGCGCCGGGTCGCTGCGGGCCTGCCGCTGTTAGGGCGTGGCTCCTGGTAGCCTGAGTTTTCCTTTTTTTTTAATTTTTTTTCTTTCTTTCAACGACAGCCATAAGATGAATGTGGAGGAGAACAGCTCCTTGTCAGTGTGCTGCGTTACGTCAGGGTATCGGGACAATTAGCTCCCAGCAGCTTCTAGAGACCATCTGTCCTTAACCCGGTATGAGTTAGGAATGCGTGTAGGAGCAGGTGGTGGCGGTGAGGCGTTCCGAGGGGACGGAAATCGGATCTTGCTCCAGATCTGGGCCGCCGATAATCCCCTGCCCTGCCAGACAGATGTGGAGGTGCTGGGCTGAGCCCAACGCCTGGGGAAGCGGAAGACGGTTGGCCGAGGCAGACCTTCTGCAGACGTGGCTGCGGCGTGTCTCTGCAGCTGCGCGGCCCCGCCGGCCGCAGAGGGGCGCGGGCGCGCGCGCTCCCTGAATTGCTCATTCATCCTGTGCCGCAAAGCCCCGCCCTTTGTCCCTGCGGCCAGACGTTTCCTCCGCACTGCCCTGGCCACGTGCTTCCTGTGATGGGAGCTGCCCGGAAATCTGGCTGCCCAGTCTAAAATGGCATTCAGAGGCCCGAGCCCTGGATGAATGGCCGTCTATCTTCATCCTCCAAAGGAGGAGCTGTGACTAAGCTCTCTCGCTCTGGAAAAAAGGGCCTTCCCAATAGAGGTGGGGAACAGAAATTCGTTAAAAGCGATGCAGATCAAAAGGCAAAGAGATTCTCCCCCTTAGAGATCTAAAAGTATTGTATTTTAACTAGTTTTAGAAGGGGAAGTTTGTAAAGATGACTTGGATTTTGTTCTGCTTTGCCGTCATTACTAGATTAGTTTAAGACTGATTTTTATTTTTATTATCTGTGTTTTTCCACAGCGTGAGTGTATCTCGATCCACGTTGGCCAGGCAGGTGTCCAGATCGGCAATGCCTGCTGGGAGCTCTATTGCCTGGAACACGGCATTCAGCCCGATGGCCAGATGCCAAGTGACAAGACCATTGGGGGAGGAGATGACTCCTTCAACACCTTCTTCAGTGAGACGGGCGCTGGCAAGCATGTGCCCAGGGCAGTGTTTGTAGACCTGGAGCCCACAGTCATTGGTGAGTTGGCCTCAGTAACCCAAGTGAGCTACTGGGACAAGAGGTCTGTCTGAGGCTCCATTGACAGCCTGGGGCTGAGCAGGGTCATGCAGGTTGTTAGTGATGGGTGGCCACCTTGTTTTCCTTTTCCAGATGAAGTTCGCACTGGCACCTACCGCCAGCTCTTCCACCCTGAGCAGCTCATCACAGGCAAGGAAGATGCTGCCAATAACTATGCCCGAGGGCACTACACCATTGGCAAGGAGATCATTGACCTTGTCTTGGACCGAATTCGGAAACTGGTATGTTTATTCTCAAGAATAAAGTAAATAAGGATCCGAAGGAAGACATTTGAGTTACGATGTTTTGTTTTGTTTTGTTTTGTTTTTCATTTCAAATGCAGAATTGAAATGTAATAGAATGAGGTGAACTACTCCTTTAGTTTTTTTTTTTTTTTTAATTAAATTGAAACATGAACTACTTGGGTGCTGTTTTACAAATGTTAATGAAGATATTTTTAATTAAGAAATGCTTAGGAAGGGGATCCCTGGGTGGCACAGCGGTTTGGCGCTTGCCTTTGGCCCAGGGCGCGATCCTGGAGACCCGGGATCGAGTCCCACATCGGGCTCCCGGTGCATGGAGCCTGCTTCTCCCTCTGCCTTTGTCTCTGCCTCTCTCTCTCTCTCTCTCTGTGACTATCATAAATAAATAAAAATTTAAAAAAAATGCTTAGGAAGTCTAGGAAGGCCTACATGTATTTAAAAGCATTTCTTGTCAAAATAAGATCTATATTGTTGGAGTTGTATGAAAAGTGGAAATCTATTTACTTATGATGATATTGCAAAGAGCAGTAATAGGTTTTCTCTATTCCTTTTTTCTAACAGGCTGACCAGTGCACGGGTCTTCAGGGCTTCTTGGTTTTCCACAGCTTTGGAGGGGGAACCGGTTCTGGGTTCACCTCCCTGCTGATGGAACGTCTCTCTGTCGATTATGGCAAGAAGTCCAAGCTAGAGTTCTCCATCTACCCTGCCCCCCAGGTGTCCACAGCTGTAGTAGAGCCCTACAACTCCATCCTCACCACCCACACCACCCTGGAGCACTCTGATTGTGCCTTCATGGTAGACAACGAGGCCATCTATGACATCTGTCGTAGAAACCTCGATATTGAGCGCCCAACCTACACTAACCTTAACCGCCTTATTAGCCAGATTGTGTCCTCCATCACAGCTTCTCTCAGATTTGATGGAGCCCTGAATGTGGATCTGACTGAGTTCCAGACCAACCTGGTGCCCTATCCCCGCATCCACTTCCCTCTGGCCACATATGCCCCTGTCATCTCTGCTGAGAAAGCCTACCATGAACAGCTTTCTGTAGCAGAGATCACCAATGCATGCTTTGAGCCAGCCAACCAGATGGTGAAATGTGACCCTCGCCATGGTAAATACATGGCTTGCTGCCTGTTGTACCGTGGTGATGTGGTTCCCAAAGATGTCAATGCTGCCATTGCCACCATCAAGACCAAGCGCAGCATCCAGTTTGTGGACTGGTGCCCCACTGGCTTCAAAGTGGGCATTAACTACCAGCCTCCCACTGTGGTACCTGGTGGAGACCTGGCCAAAGTACAGCGAGCTGTGTGCATGCTGAGCAACACCACAGCCATTGCTGAGGCCTGGGCTCGCCTGGACCACAAGTTTGACCTGATGTATGCCAAGCGTGCCTTTGTTCACTGGTATGTGGGTGAGGGCATGGAGGAAGGAGAGTTTTCTGAGGCCCGTGAGGACATGGCTGCCCTGGAGAAGGATTATGAAGAGGTTGGTGTGGATTCTGTTGAAGGAGAGGGTGAAGAAGAAGGAGAGGAATACTAAATACCATTCCTTTCAGCCCTGCAGCATGTCACACTCAGAGCTTTAGCTTTCAATGTTAGCTGACAGGCATTAAAGCTTTCTGATTAGATTGTCTTCAATTTTAACTGTGATCATGTCTTCTCCATGTGTACCTGTCACTTATTCCATCATGTCTCAAAGTAAAGGCTTTAAAAAAGAAAGTTGAACGTCTGTGCTTTTTTTCTAAATTACTTTCTCCAATTCAAGATGTACTACCACTCATCTACGTCTGGTGATAATGCCAAGGATCCTGGTTTTCTGTGTAGCCACCTCTGGGAAGAAAAGGGAGCACACTGGACTGGAAAATAAAAGCTGTATTCTCAAACTGATGTTAGTATCACCTCAACCAATGTTAGCCTCTAGCTCACAAAGGCCTTAGAAAATGTATTTTAAAAGTCCTGTTAGTCCAGAGCTAACCTAGCTTTTGAAATGATGGGTTAATTAATGATGACTTAGGTATAAAAAGTTTTAAATGTCCTACAAGTCCATGACTCCTGTTTAAGGGAGTTTCCTAACCTACCAACGTAATTAACTTTAACCCTATTACAGAAAAATGGCTAGAGGAACATTTGAGCATGATGAAGTTGCGGGGTTGTAATTCCTGCTAATGAACAAAAATTCTGGTAGGAGGGGTTCCTGGGTGGCTCAGTTGCTTAAATATCTGCCTTTAGCCCAGGTTATGGTCCTAGTCTCCAGGGATGAACCTCCTCTGCAGGCTCCCTGCTCAGCCGGGAGTCTTTTTCCCTCTGCTCTCTCAAAATCTTAAAAAATCCTAAGAGGAGAAAACCAAATAAGCTGTGGGTTTAAAAAGATAGGACAGGGGGATCCCTGGGTGGCGCAGTGGTTTGGCGCCTGCCTTTGGCCCAGGACGCGATCCTGGAGACCCGGGATCGAATCCCACATCGGGCTCCCGGTGCATGGAGCCTGCTTCTCCCTCTGCCTGTGTCTCTGCCTCTCTCTCTCTCTCTCTCTGACTATCATAAATAATAAATAAAAATTTAAAAAAAAAAAGGTAAAAAGGACAGGAATGTGGAAAAGCGCTGTTTGACAGGGTAAAGTGGCAACATTTGTACAGTTTAGGGTAAGAATACAATTTAGGGCACCTAGCATAGTTT